ATGTTAGTATAGAGCTGCCTATCTTCTTATGATAACAGCTGAACGCCTTGCAGCGTTAAACATACTTATCCTCACCTCTATCCTGGGAGGTAAGGCAGGACTATCACAGATGGGAAACAGAGGGTCAGAAAAACTAATTCTCAGAAGAGTCTAGGGGATTTGGGGGCCTAAATTCTCGACTTTATATAGGACTTTGGCTCCTAAGTTCCTAACTGAACACAGGACTTTGGCTTCTTTCAAAGTTTTACTCTAATGCCCCAGGCCATATGGGAAGTCAGGGCGAACCGAATCGGTCCCCCCAAATCCAAGGTTAGTGCCTTCATTGATTCGGGGATACTCGGTGCATGGGGCTGCATCCGGTGCCATCTTGGCTAACAGCCATTGTGAACTCATCTGATTCTTGGTTGAACCCAATTACATTTCTGCTCGTCCCAGCCCCTCCTGGAAAGACGTTCCGCAGGGTGGCTGTGTGCCCGGCAGAGAAGTGCTTCCTTTCGTTTGTTTTAAACCTGCGGCCTGTCTGTTTTAGCCCCCAGAATTGCTGAGGAATAGAGCCAGCCCTCCCACATCACTGCTAAGGAATGTAACCCAGCTGAAGAAATGTTGGAAAAGCACCAAGGCGACGTGGATAAAAGCACCTGCTTGACAGGCGGCTAAATACCACTGGGACACAGTCATTCAGCGGCTTTAGAAAGGGGCTGGTACAGGGTTCCAGACCTCAAAGCAATAGATATTTCCCCCCCATTTATGATCCTCTGTCTGCATGACGCACAGAGCGAAACAGACAGGAAACGTTGCCACAGAATGGCCCGTTTCCCCGAATATCTTACTTATGATGCTACCAACGTGGGTCATCAAACATTTCAAATAATAGCATCGTGTAGAACTAAAAAGTCCTCAAAACTCTTCCACACTGCAACATGGTAGAGTTGTTTAAAAAAAAATCCACAAAAAACACAGCCACAGATGACTAATACGTGTGCTCGAAAAACCTTTTGGCCTTTAAGACACCCAGACGGGGCCAGTCCCAATAAACAAATGTGGTTTGGGTCATCTCAGCTCATCCGGAGTATTATATCCAGTCCCCCGTTACAGAAAGGAAGTGGACGCATTGGAGAGGATCCAGCGGAGGGCAACCAAAATGATGAAGGGGCTGGAGCACATGACCTACGAGGAGAGGCTGAGGGATTTGGGTCTGTTTAGTCTGCAGAAGAGAAGAGTGAGGGGGGATTTGAGAGCAGCCTTCAACTTCCTGAAGGGAGGTTCCAAAGAGGCTGGAGAGAGGCTGTTCTCAGTAGTGATGGATGGCAGAACGAGAAGCCATGGTCTCAAGTTGCAGTGGGAGAGATCCAGGTTGGATATTAGGAAAAACTATTTCCCTAGGCGGGTGGGGAAGCGCTGGGCTGGGTTCCCTAGGGAGGGGGTGGAATCTCCATCCCTAGAGGTGTTTAAGTCCCAGCTTGACAAAGCCCTGGCTGGGCGGGTTGGTCCGGCTTTGGGTAGGGGACTGGACTCGATGACTCCTGGGGTCTCTTCCAGCCCTGGGTTCTATGATCACTTCACACAGACTAGCTGGTCTGGGACAGGTGGCGTCCCGGCTTCATCATGACTGCTCATTACTTATAATGCAGCAGCGCCGCGGTTTTCAAAGCCCGGGTCGCGACAGGCCCGGAATGGCCTTGCTGTACGGTGACCGGGGGGAAGGGGGAGGGAGGCAGCTTCCTCCTGGCCCGGCGCTGCGGGCCGTGCTGGGCCCCGAACGCAGCTGGACGCAGGTCCGGCTCCTAGGTGGAGGGGAGTCGCCAACGCTCCCAAGATAAAAAAGCCAAACAATGAAGCCAGGCCCGTGGCAAACCCAGCCAGCCCCGGCCTGGCCACAAACCAGGAAGCGGCAATGGGAGTGTGGCACCAGAGCGCGGAGCAGGGGCAGCCTCCGGAACTGGTCCTGCTGCTGCCACCTCCGGGGGTGGGGGGGGACAGTGCGGCCCCCTGTGCCCAGACAGGCAGGGAGCCGGCCTTGCCACCCCCACGCGTTCCCGCCCGCACGGC